TCTTTAATTAAAACTTGACATTTAATGAGATTGAAAACAAATTTTGGAATCTAGGAAAGTTATCAGCCGCAGTTTAACACGTGTTGCATCTTGTTAAATACATGTAATGCTACTTAGAAATGTGTAGTAACTGTAATTGGAATTCATCCATTAGGCTCAATTCATAAAGCTAAGGCCTCATGTACATGGGACGTTTAACTCTGAAGCTGAATTACTGCAGCATAAATCTGAGGATTCTTGCAGCAGGAATCACAGATGGTTCCAGACATCTTCGGTTGCTCAGCCTGTAGAAAGCAATGTCCGGCTGACATGGGCCACAGCTTTATGTCACATGGAGCGGATACCTCCAGTTAGAGACAAATGATCACTCCTGGATACAAGCTGTTTGAGGAGTCGCCTGTGATTCCAGCTTTGGTGTTAAACGCCTCATGTGAATGAGGCCTGACACACCAGGATAAGGAAACTTATTTAAAAAAAAGTGAAATATATTTTCAATTGAGTTCAATGGAATTAGAGTCACATGGCTAAAATATCAGTTCTTATCTAAGTTAGGGTTAAGGGTCTTCAAACTGGATTGATGATGTCACAAGAGCCAGGCCAGGGGTGGAATTTCTTCCAGGACTGAGAGGCACTATCATTATAACATGTGAGAGCACTGCTTAGTCCTGTAATACCATGGGTCCAGCCTGCTTGAGGATGTGCCCCCTAGGGCGATGGTTTTCAACTGGTGGGTCGCAGCTCCATGTTCAGTGGGTTGCCATGTGCCTTCCACTGTGCTAGGTGAGAGGCTCCTCAGCTTCCCCCTAGCGCAGCACTGTCAGTTTTCATGCCGAGCAATCATTAAAAATATACTACCTGGCACTGAGTGTTAGCTTGAGGTGGGGTGGGCTGGGGGTATGGCCGCGAGGGATCTCCATCCATACGTGCATTTCTTACAGCTCCCTTGCATGCAAGGGAGCTGTACAAGCAATGCACGTATATATCGTGCTCCATCACAGCAGCCTTCTGGCACACTGGACTTCTGTTGCGATTTAATGACCAAGGACAAATGTGGGTCCTGAGGTTACCCAAGTTGACAACCACTGACCTAGGGTACATGGAAATGACAGGCTGGGCTCACAGGAAATGGGCAGAATGACAAAGTGTCATTCTGCCCTAAAGAGGACCTCCAGTGCTGGACTGAACAGGAGGTCAGGGACAGAGCTGGGTAGGTAGTATTTGAGATATCATCTTTTTAACACAAGAGGTGGGAGAGAAGGGAAAAATAAATGTTTCCCTTGAGTTGTACTTTAAAGCTTTGCAAATTGAGCCCTTTGTATTATATGATATCAGGATAGCGCAATACAAGTGCCCTGAGCAGCTCCTAGAATGGTGCACAAATCAAATAACCTTGACCAGCGTTGTCCATGGACATACCCTCCCTGAGGGCACAACGGCTGTCAATACCCTGTCATTAGAGCTCGGGCTGGGTAAATCAGAGACACACAATGGACGTGCTAGGGGACAGACAAGGAAAAGCTGATATAAAATAAACAGAAAGGATATAATGATTGGACTCCTCAAGTGCAAATGGTACTTTTTACAAGGACCTATTAAAAATAAATGAGATGTTCATTCCCAATATTGTACTTGTCAGTGGAGAATGCCTAGCTGTGACGTGAGAAAATACCAAATTCCCAGCACTCCGAATAAACGTTACACAAGTTACAAGCATGCTGATCTTTCACAACCCCACAAGGCCCCTTTATCAAGGTGACATAGTGACGTCACCATGAGGAAGGAACTCCGAAACGTCACTATGGATAGTGTCAAAATCAGATGGGAGAATACGAAGTCACCAGCCCTCCAAATAAATGGGCATCACAGCTTTATGATGAAGACCTTGTCGAATCAGGCTGGGTTCACACCTATACAATTTATCGTGCGGATTTAGCTGTGCGATATTGCTCAAAACAGAGATTTGCATTGAAGTCTATGGAAGCTGTTCACGCCTTTGTGATTTGTCACGCGGTAAAAAATCTCCCGTCGCGCAAAATGATGCAGGAGCTATTTTCGGGCGGTTGTCACACGGTTTGGGTCCCAGAGACATCTCAATTCATTGAAAACCGCTTGACAACCGCACAGTTTTCAAAGCAAAATTGTGCAAACAAAATCCCTGTGTGTGTTGTAAAGTAGTCGCCGCTCCAAGCTCACTCCTGTGATGGACTACAATCTCAAAATTAATTAGTAAACTAAAACGTGAGATTATAGTCCACCACAGGAGCGATCTTTGAGCGGTGACTACTTTACAACACACACAGGGATCATGGGGAACAAAAGTAGCCACCCTCCAGAAGGAAGGACAGTGTCAGCAACAATTCAGAGATGATTTGAGGATCTACAGCCGAGTGATACACAAATATGATACATTTTTGTTAATAGTCAAAATAAAACTCCAGGAAAACTTTTTATTAATCCTTGGAGTGGGGCTACCAGGGACCATGGGGAACAAAAGCAGCCACCAAGTCAGAGATGATTTAAGGATCTACAACTTAATACTTTTTCCCATTTTTTTTTGTAAAATTAGGTACCTCGGCTTATATTCGGGACGGCTTATACTCGAGTATATACGTTAACTCCTGAGTTTAGTGTCACTTCAAGGGGACATACAAGTAGGGTTGCCACCTGTCCGGGGTTCACAAGATGCAGGCAGACAGGGGCAACCTGTCATGCACGTGTGAGGAGGAAGCTGCTGCTCTGTATGGTTTCCCCGGGCTGTGTTGACCTTTCCTGGGGACACATGAACTGCTGCACCTCCATCCAGCCACATCCAGAAGGGGGACAGGCAGCACCGGAGACAGCTGGTGCTGATCATCAGCAGAGTCTGCTCATCTACCAGGCTCGAGCTCAGCTGATCACTGCCTCAGAGAAGTTCAGTAGGTAAATGTGCTGGGACCAGGACCGCAGATGATGGATGAGGAGACTGGTACTGACATGAGATGGGTATCAGCAGGAGACAGATAAGGTGATCTATTCCTGGGAAAGTTATACATGGAACACACTGCTTGAAGTTACAGGTACCAGAAATGATCCATATATATTGTGCCATAGTAAGGAAGAATGTAGATGTAACCGACCCATTCTAGTGTTTTCCAAAGCTGGACTGTAAATACTTTCTACAACCATTTTTGGGACCCGTTCCTTTTGGTGGCCACTATGGACTTGTATATTGTTTCCATTTAACCACTTGCTGCCCAGAGAAATTTCATACATTTGCACACACGATACAATCTAAATTTTGGCTAGAAAACAGCTTCAGCCCCCAAACAATGATATATTTTCTGAAAGCAGAGGCCCTGTAGAATAAAAAAAATGCATAGTTGCAATTTTTAATGTCGCACGGTATTTGCGCAAATGTTTATCAAACCAGTAATTGTAGAATAAAATACACTAAAATTAAATATAGATATAAAAGACGAGATCATGTCGGGTAATTAGATGTCAAACGTGTCAAGGCTTAAAAGTGCGTGCGCCCGTGAAACCGCAAAAAACGACAATACCCCAAATTTCCCATAGGAGACAATTTAAAAGCTTTTACTGTTCATCAGTTTAGTGTTACCAGTGATTGATGGCCCGAGAATTATAGCTCTCACTCCGATGTTCGCAGCGATATGTAATGTGTGGCGCAAATTTAGTTTTTGACCTTAGGCGCACTTGACATGTGTTTGTGTTTACACAGCCCCCTATGTAATAGCAATTAGGACATGACAGGCCCACTTTACGGAGATATTAGGGGTCTTTTAGACCCCTAATGTCACCCAGGGACCCTTAAAGAAGCTGATGAAGCAGCAATAGAGTGTTCACGAGTGGCACTAGAGTGTTCGGGTTTCTCTTGAGGTAATGGGGGCAACCCTACATACAAGGGTTAAATGCTCTAGTTTGTGTAGCTGTGACATTTCCTGGACTTCATATGTTAATGGCCCCAGAGGGATACGGAAGCTTTGTTTAATGGCCCTGGACCTGTTCAAGTGCCAATTGTGGTTGTATTTTATAAAAAGGGAAACAACCACACACAAATAACAGCCAAATACACGTAAAAAAGACAAACAAAACAAATGGAAAATTCTCTTAATTTAAAAAAACAACATACCTTGTTTTATTGATTGCATGTAATAATCTACTTTTTTGAGGTTGTGGATTTGGGGTTCTTGGTGTTTTCATGAGCTGTAAGCCATAATCATCACAATTATGACAAATCACGGCTTGAATTATCTTGCTTTGCATGTAATGAGTCTATCTCATATATTAGTTTCACCTTTTAAGTTGCATTAGTGAAATAAATGAACTTTGCACGATATTCTAATTATTCGAGTTTCACCTGTAGACTGGGGTGCATACTGTGGGGTACTGTGACCTGGATGGACTGGATGTGACTGATTTAGATGTTCAGGACAATCGATTATTCGGATAGTCACTATTGTTATTATTAATAATCATTTGAAACAATAACATACATTTCTAAAAATATCTTTTGTACAAAGGACTTTTCAGTGGTCGGTCTCCCAAATGCCATACAGCTGACCCTACACACATCAATCGGATTGTTCTGATATTCTGACGGAATTTAGATACGATGGAAACTTTTATCCCTGCCATCTCAATCTGTTTCAACATGATTAGATTGAAGATAAAAGGTGGGCTGGAAACGGCATATGTGGAAATAGATTTTGAAACCAAAACTTTCGACCCTTATTTACTTTTTATGAGAAACTTTTTCGAAGTGGTTAGAATGATATCGTCTTTTTTTTTTTTAAAGGCGGCCATACACTATACAATCAGATTGTACTACTCTGTAAAATTGCTTTTAGATTTACCAGAACTAGGACACACCTAAACGATCCACTCAGCTTATATCAAATGAGACTGGACAATGCACTACATAGTTGATGGTAGATCTAAAGCAGATTGTACAATCAGATTGTATAGTGTGTCATCAGCTTTACGCTTGTGTTGTATACAATAATCCATTCAGACATTTGACTGATTAACGTGATTGAATCAAACGATTGATATCTTGCAGTATTGATGTGTATATGTCAGCATGAAGATAAGTATGTTATCACATCAGGTGACCACAGGTCTGCCTCAACTAATCGATTATAGTGATTGGATCAAGCGGTTGATCTTATGCAGTATTGAGTGTGTGTCAGCATGAAGATAAGTATGTTATCACATCAGGTGACAATGACAGGTCCTCCTTACTTAATCGATTATAGTGTTTGGATCAAGTGGTTGATATCTTGCAGTATTGTGTGTATATGTGTATATGGCAGCATGAAAATAAGTATGTCATGACATCAGATGACCATGACAGGTCCTCCTTACCTAATCGATTATAGTGATTGGATCAAACGATTGATCACACGCAGTATCGTTGTGTGTATATCAGCATGAAGATAAGTATGTCATGACATCAGGTGACAATGACAGGTCCTCCTTACCTTGCTCCAGGTTGTGGACCTTCACTTGGATCTCGGTCTGTCCTCCTTGCAGCTTCTGGGTCAGGTAGAGCCGACCAGATCCGCTCTCAATCTTCATTGGGGGATCAGAGGGCCAACTGATCTCAAACCATTTCCCCCGATACCTCTTATCGGGGAGAGTGAAGATCGTCTCCCCGAGGGCACCTCCTGCTGGTACCCGCACAGTGTAGGAAGAAGAAGATATACCCAGGGGCTGAAGAGATCTGGCCGATCTATATCGGGACCAGGTGTATGGGGAAGGAACTGACCTGGCATCGCTGATCTTGGATGGGGCAGAAGAGATGGCAGTGGTGGGTACCAATGATGCTGGGAAATGTGCCAGTGGGATAACAGGGGCAGGAGGGTTCTGGATGCTCGCTATGGGCTCATCCGATACAGCAGGCTGGACTGATGAAGAGATGGCATGGGAAGCCACAGCTGTCAGATCGCTCTCATCAGCACCATACATCGTCCCATCAGATGCAATAGAATAGTTGGGGACCTCAGAGGAATGCCCAAGTACTTCATGGTGACCAAAGCTTGAAGGGCTGCCAGCTTGGCACAACATGCCAAGCAGCATCATGATAGCAGCAATGTATAAAATAGAAATCTCTGGGTGCAGGTGCAGCCTGCACATAGTGAGAGAAAGGGATTGATCCTGATGAAGCTCCAGCAGATGCAGTCAGTGAGCTCTGATCGTCTCCAGGCTGTGCTGACCCCCAGAGTGCACATGTGGAGGCCACGCCCCCCTCTGTGATCACAGCGCTGACAAGGTGCAAAGCAGCCGGAGCTGTCTTATCCTCATTCAATGGCATCCTTTGTCACCAATCATTTATTTCCCTCCTCCATTATCACCCCCTCTAATATTACACTTAGTATAAGAGAAGGAGACATGGAATTCCATCTCCTGCACTCAGTCTCTAATTTACTGGGAAAGTTCCACCTTCCTGTCTATGGCAGTGCTAAGAAATAATTGGGGATGACTGGAGCAAACAATTAGATCCCTGCTTGCTTTTCTATGCTGAAATCTATGCCTCGCCAGTCATTCGTTTGTAAAGGATAAGAGTACATACCATGAGGATTTCATCGCTGAAACAAAGCGCTGAAAGTGCAAACTGAGAAAACCCAGAGCAAGCAGAAATCACCAGAACTCCTCTGTTTGCAGGACATTGAAAGTGTCGGTTTCCAAGGAATAAACTGCACAGAACATAGTGAAAGTGGCTGCAATGACTCCATCACTCCACGGGGCTCCATTGTCTTCAGCTTCAGGGACTGGGGCTCTTTTTTTGGTGTGTTGCCAACGTTATGCAGATTCACAGAAGTGTTTTTAATAGTACATATCCATTGATTGATCACACAAACTAGACACGTAACCCCGCAAAAGAAAAACATTTCCTATCAATACATCGCATCTGTCCAAAGTTAAGTTTTGGAACGTTCTGATTTTTTTTTTTGTCGGAGCAGTCACATGACTTTGCCTGTAATGCAACCCCCAACAGCCCCCCCAAAAAAATCTGATTGGCCAGAGGGCAGTGACATGTCCGATATAGTTTGTTTTTGAATGAAATTCGGACGGATCCATTCACATTCGGATTAGGGCTGCAACAACTAATCGACATAATCGATTATAATCGATTATTGAAAAAGTTGTCAACTTTTTCAATAATCGATTAATCGGCTTTCTGATCAGTTGGCCCTGTTCACAGCTCCACACGCTGTGCGCCGCACCTCCTCCCCACCTCACGCTCGCCGCTGCCAGACCCGCTCGCATCCACGCTCCACACGCCGCACCTCCTCCCCGCCTCACATTTCCTGCCCATCCACAATCGGCAAGGCACGCGGGGAGATGTAGTAAGGAGGAGCAGGGGTGGGGGGATGACAGCAGCTGATAGACAGGTCCAATCTCAGAAGCAAGTTGCTGGAAGACTCGTCAGGTAAGCCTGCACTCCCACCCCACCCCCCACATGGTGCTCTATAATGTATTGCTGGGATTTGTATTTCTCTATAGCTGATGGTACATTGTACTGTACCTTATACATAGGAATAAAAATACCAGCAATGCATTATACACTGTATGTATAATGTATTGCTGGGATTTGTATTTCTCTATAGCTGATGGTACATTGTACTGTACCTTATACATAGGAATAAAAATACCAGCAATGCATTATACACTGTATGTATAATGTATTGCTGGGATTTGTTGTACTCCTCTATAGCTGGTGATATTCTGCATTGCGCTGTATAGAGGACTACAAGTCCCAGCAATAATACATTATACAGCGGAATACCACCAGCTATAGAGGACTACAAAAATCCCAGCAATAGTCGGGACAAAAAAAAAGTTGTACAATGGTTGTCAGGTGTATGGCCACCTTAACACAAACAATTAGAAACTTCTGCTCTTAGGAACTCTCACCCAAATGAAGAAAAATCCAGCCGTCATCCTAGTGAATATCTTACAGTTCAAGTGACACTAAACTCAGAAGTTATATCTTAAAAATGCAAAAAAAGAACTCCAGGAAATGTTTTTATTAACGCTTTGAGTGGGGCTACCCCCGGCACTGCAAGGGTTAAGTGCTCATTTGTGTCTAGGTAAAAAAAGTTATACTCGCCCAAAGTGCCAAGCCTGCTTGCTCTTAGATTGGTCCTTTCAGCGTCTCTCCCCCTCCTCTGCAGTGGTCTAAGATCCTGTAAATCATCAACGTCTATATACTGTGTATAGACGCGGGGATGGCGAGGAAGATTCCAATGCTGTTGCAGAGGAGGCGGAGACAGGCTGGAGGAAGTGCTGGGAGCTTTGGGTAAGTATATCTTTGTTATTTTTCTCCCTTGACACAGAACTATGGGGTCAGGGCTTTTCCCAATAGTTCTCCTTAGGGTAACGGGAGGACACAAACTAGCGTCCTCCCGTCACCCTAAGCTCAGTATACCGGTATACTGAGATGCCGCAGCTGAAGCGAATCCCGACAATTATGTCTGGATCCGCCCAGCTGCGTGAGTGACAGCTGGCTCTGCCTATCTAGAGGCAAAGCCAGCTGTACCCGCCCCCTCCCCCGTCCGTTCCGCCAGTCAGCGCTGGAGGATCAGAGCGGGAAGGGGGAATCCATCCCCTCCCCTGTCACGGCAGAGAGCTGTGACAGGATCGAGAAGTGAGCGAACGCCGGTATGTGTTCGCTCACCTCCCGATCTACTGACCCGACCTGTGACAGTCTCATTGTCACAGGTCGGCTAGAACTATGAGGTGAGTGAAAAGCTCTCACCTCATAGTTCTCCTTTAATCCTGACAGTGCGCAGGTAGCCCCACCCCAAGGGTCAATAAAAAGTTTTCCTGGAGTTGTATTTTTTCTAATAACTTAAATGTGTCTTATTTGTGTATCACTCGGCTGTAGATTCTCAAATCATCTCTGAATTGGTGCTGACACCAGTAACGCCACAAGGGGGGTGCGGCCTGCACCCGGGTGACACCAAAATGACTGACAGTCATTTTGGTGTTACCCCCTCTAAAAAGTCGGGCACTCGGTTATGGACCGAGAGCCCGACAATATCAGGAGAGAGGAGGGGACCCGGTGGCATACCTCATTCCGCTAGGTGAACGTCCCCTCCTCTCTCTGCCGCCGAGATGGCTGCCGGCAGGCGTCAATTAGACGGCCGTGCATGTGCGATGACGTCATCGTGCACGCGCTTGGTGACACCCGGCCTCGGGACACCCCTGGCTGACACTGTCCTTCCTTCTAGAGAGTGGCTACTTTGATTCCCCATGGTCCCTGTGTGTGCTGTAAAGTAGTCACCGCTCTAAGTTCATCCTGTGATGGACTACAATCTCAGTATGGAATAGTAAACTAAACGTGAGATTGTAGTCCATCAGAGGAGTGAGCTTTGAGCGGTGTCTACTTTACAACACTGTTACTCTAAAGCTGGCCATACACCTTACAATTATCGTTCGATTTCTCTCGTCGCGTCATCGAACCGTCGTCCGTGTTCCGCTCAAATACCCCATCATGCACAGACCAATGTGGAATTTGATTATCGTTCGTTATCAATGCTAACTGACCGAATGTCGTTGATCGACGGAACGGATTTGGTTGTACATTAATTATGATCGTTGACTTCCCATGAACTGGCCGATTATCGTACGAAAAGCCGATCGCTTTCATTTTTTGAATGATAATGGCAAGGTGTATGGGTACCTTTAGATGCTCTTTTAATACCGAATCATGTTACTGACCTGTTGCCAATGAACCTAATTAGTTGTAAAATGTTCTTCCAGCTCTTTCTTGTTGAGGTGCCCATACACCTTGCGATTATCGTACGAAAAACCCAGAACACAGCAGATCCCATTGCACTCCTGACTGGAAAGTCCAATGAACAGGTGGGAGCTGGAGCTGAAGCTACTGCAGATGCCTATGCAAATCAAACGTAACTGGTAGAAAGTCACTCGCACTCCAATACAAATTGTGTTTATGGTACGAAAAACAAACGCGATCGGGTCTTCGTACGATAATCGGCCAGTTGATGGGAAGTGCACGATCGCAATTACTGTACAACCGGACGACTAGAGAGCTTTCGTTGAAGCGGACGAAAATCGATGGATTCGTTGCGTTTACGTACAACAAAATCATCCAAAAGGTCTATGCGCTGTATGGAATGCAGGTGATTTCGTATTTTTTACGTACAACAAAAGTCGCAACATGAACACTGCACATGCGCAAACGAAAATCCGTTCTTTCGATCAACGAAATTCGAAAACTTCAATGGTCTGTGCATGATGGGGTACTCGAAATGAAACGACGGTTCGATGACAGGAGAAAAGAATTGAATGATAATTGTAGGTGTATGGGCACCTTTAGTACCACTTTTGTTGCCCTGTCCCAAATTTTTTGAGACATTTCAAAAAACCTCATTTTTTTCTTCAAATGGTCCATTTTCTCATTTTAAACATTTGATATGTTTTCTTTTTTCTATTGTGAATAAAATATGAATTGATGAGATTTGCAGGTCATTGTATTCTGTTTTTATGAAGATTTTGCACAGCGTTCCCACTTTTTTGGGAATTGGGGTTGTATTTATTATTGGTATTTTTATATCATCGACAATTTACACAGCGCTTTACATACTACATATTCACTTCAATCCCTGGCCTGAAGGAGCTTACAATCTGAGGTCCTGATCTCACATACTGTACATACACATACAACACTGGGCTCAGTTTAGATAGGAGCCAATGCACCTACCATCTTATTTTTTATTTTGTTATTGTTTGATATGTACAGATTCCATCCAATGGCTTTTCATTATTTTAGTTTTACCTCATCTATGAGGTCCCTTACTTCCTTGTTCTGATCACCATCTGTTAGTAATCTATCTAATAATAATATTCAGTATTTTTTTTATTTAAATTGCTTTTTTTATACTTCTTGCTTCATTTATATCCATAGCAAGCTGTCCAGAAAATGTGGCAGCAACAAA